GAAATTAGTTCAGTCAGAAATCAGTTTTAGTATTTTTGTGGTAGGATTGCAACTCATTCCTTCCATTTCAGCTAGTTTAGTCATCAATCGAGGATGAATGTTCCCAAGCGGGAGATAATGTAACACCCCGTATGCTAAAACAGACAAAAATGCAGATTTTGGAGTTTCAGGTGCATGCCACGGTTGCCACTCACGGACCGTAGGGTGACCCACGGCCTATGTTGTTGGTCCGTGGATGGCTACCTGCGACCCTTCCCCAGAAACCCCATAGAAATTTATCTAAGTGTTGACCCACAATCAGACATACGGACCGTAGGTCAGGTCACAGACCATGGTCTGTGTTCGTGGATCAAACCCCTAGTCCAAGAATGCAGCAAATTTTCATCTGTTTAAGCCTCAAAATCAAAAGATTTCTCCGTGGAATTTGTCACCACGTATGTGGGATTTCACTAGTGGGTTCCTTTCGCCTATTAGGTCCCTAGATTTCAGTCAGAATCTTGATTCCCTTACTATTATCTAGACCTAAGGTTTCTTAAATGTTAGAAATTGTTGGGATTTAGCTGTTAGAATGATCCAAGTCAGATAATCATGAATTCAATATCTTTTGGTGTAGATTCTTTCATAAATTCAGAACCCTAGCTCTGTAGTTTTTTAGTTCATGAATTACACATGCTAGGTCAGATATTTCAGATATGTACATGCATGCATTAGTTTTTTAATGTCCATTATCAGTACATTAATGTTGCATTCTCAGTTTGCATGCCAATATGTTGAGCTATCCAGTATTACACCATTTTAGTCATAGAATGTTAATTGCTTAATCAATTAGGAGAAGCTTATTACCAAGTGGACTAGGGTCAATCACCCTCAAGTCCAAGAACTACGTGCCCCATAGGTTGTAAGTCCCCTCTGTGGGCATTATTTTAGTGATCATGCCAGCATACCTTTATACCTCTGGCACTGTATATTGGGTCCTCTCGATGGGGCATATACATCGGACTCTACATTTAGCTCATGTTGTTTTATATCAGTTATTAGTAGTGTCACGCCCCGAGCTACCCCCGAGATGCGGACATGGGACCTAGGATCACAAGTGACCCAAAGCTAACCCTACTGGGCATAATCTTGAGCGTACTAAAGATAATACTAAGAAATAAAACTGGTGCGGAAGCTAATCATAAATAAATCTAAAATGATGGGGAATACCCATATACTAAATCTGAATATCAAATCTGTGAGTTAAATACAAAATAAACATTAAACACAAAGTATTAAGCTAAATCTGACTATGTTTAAAAATAGCCTCTAACTAACTAGAAGTGTTGGGACATGCCCCAACTAAGTCTAGAAAAACTGAAACTAAAAGACTGAAATAATGAATAGATAACATGACTATTGTCCTAGAATAATGAGGACTCACCACTGATGTTGTTGAACTAGAGATCGGGAACCGATCTAAGCGTGATCTGGATGCTGAGAATCTGAACCTACATCATAAGAAGATGTAGCACGGAGTATGAATCAGTACTTGAAAGGTACTGAGCATGCAGGATAGAGTAAAACTGAAATAAACATATAACTGAACAAGCAATAAAGCAAGAGTATAATCTGAACATGATATAGATACTGAATACTGAGCTAACTGGATGCAATAACAAAATTTAGAAATGGTGATGCTGAATACTGATTATACTGAAATGTGGTCAATGCAATTGAGTCTGACTGAACTGTTGGAGTGATGAGTGCACAAATTGGACTCATTTAGGGTTTTATTTTGATAAGAATAGTGTCCTCGAATGTTTCTTTTGTCTAAATATCTGATGAAAACTCTTAAGTTTCAGGTATTTGAGGTTTTAGTGAAAGCATGGACACATAGGCGCAAAACGGAACAAAAAGGCTGAAAAGAACGAAGAAGCTGAAGCCCGAGCATCGCCAAGCACACTTGGAGATTCGCCGAAGGCATTTACTCCGCCCTTTGTTCCAGTACGCGAAGCCCTGAAGGAGAAGGATAAAAAAGGCGATGAAAGGAACAGTCAGTGCTTCACCGAATAGTTCCGCGAAGCAGTACTATACTGCTCAATTGTCCAGAATGTGACGATTCTGAAGACATGCACGAAACGGTGAAGAGACAGATGAAGGGCGAGTCACCGAAGTCATTCGGCGATATCGACTAACTTCACTGAAATATCTGCCACTGCTATTTTCTGAAGTCTATAAATACTGAACTTGTTATTAATTTTAGGGGAGTCAAACATTTATTTTAATTTCCAGAATAGAATAGTACTTTTTGGATATTTTTCTCTTCAAGTTTGGAGAGGGTTTTTTGGGAGTACTTGAAGAAAGAAGGATTTCATCTTCCCCAAGTTGGAAGTGGGTCTTCTCCATTCTTCTTCCTTTGCTTAAATCAAGGTTTAATTTCTTATACCCATTTGATTTTACTATCATTTTAGGTGTATTTTGTTAGTTCTTGATGTGTGGCTAAAAACCCCATTCTTGGGGTGTGATTTAGCAAATATGTGATGATATTATTGTTAGGTCTTGCTTGCTGATAGGTTAAATGTAGTTTAATGATGATTTCAGCTGGTGGTTGTGGTTTACTATAAAGGGTTTATAGTGGCAAATACAAAGCCACCCATGTGTTTTCTGCTTGCCCGAGAGGGAGGTCGCGAAACCAAGACCACTAGGTTGATGGTTTAAGGAGTGGGTCGACATGAGGTTCAGCTCGAGAGGGTGAGCCCTAGTCCCATATCCTAACACTCAGCTCGAGAGAGTGAGTGGGGTAAGGCGTAGGCTGGTCTTCATGCGACAAATGGGTGTTCGAGAGGAACACATTTGAAATGGGGTAAGTTGCCCGAGAGGGAGCTTATTTCCATTTAAAGCTTAGCCTAGTCACCATTATCTTACAAATTTCCTTTCAAAATAATGTACCCAACTACTTATCTCAACTTGTATTGCGGTCACACCCCAAGAACATATCCCCATACTTGATTTTCTTGTTAATTTTTGCTATTTTTACTACTTGTGAGAAAACCCCCAAATCGATAATTGACTCTTTCGTGTCACACCCCTTAATTTACTATGTTTTTGATCGTTAATATTTTTAGCTACGACTAGTTAGGGCTTAATTTTAGTTTTTTATCAATTCTCAAAACCACTCCCTTGGGACACGACCCCAACCTTTAGTTGGGTTACTATGCTATCGACGATCGTAGACACTCATACAGTAGGTTATTGTCGTTGGTCATGATAAGCATAAAAAAGGCGCCGCTACCAGGGAATGGTGTTATTTGAGAATTTTTAGATTATTAGAATTTTTGTTCTTCTTAGTTGTAATTTACTAGTTTAAATTATAGTTTCTTTTTGAGTATTTGTGTGGCACAACAGGCCATATGAGTACAAACGGGGACAATAACTGCCAAGTGGGCCACTCAGCAGGTGGTTTTTTTAATCGAGACGACATCAACGATGCTAATAGTGTTTATCATTCTACCGGCATGGGTGAGATGGGTGAAAATTGCATGCCACAAGCTGACGGGAATGTAATGTTTGAAGTTACCAGCGCAACATTCCAACTCATACATTCGAAAGGTTTATTTGGAGGGTTGGAGCATGAAGATCCGCACGATCATGTAAGAAGCTTTGTTGAAGTGTGCACCCCTTTATCATTCAAGAACCTATCTCAAGAATCCATACAGTTTCGCTTATTTCCATTTTCGTTAAATGGGGGAGCCACTAAATGGTTGATTGAGCGCCCGAACAAATCCATCAGATCATGGGAGGAATTGGTTACGGCATTTCACGAACGATTCTTTCCTCCATCAAGAATGATGAAGCTGAGGGACGATATCCAGAATTTCAAGCAACATGAGGGTGAACCAATTCATGAGTCATGGACAAGGTTCAAAAGATCTTTGCGTAAGTGCCCAACGCATGGGCTACCAAGTGAGTTGTTGCTCCAATACTTGTACCGTAGTCTGGACTCGGTGAATAAAGAAATAGCTGATCAATTATGTGCAAGGAGGAATAATGTTACAATCATTTGAAGTAGCCTCATTTCTCCTAGATGGTATGACTTAAGTAAACCAAGCATGGTATACCAAAAATGATCAAGTCTCCCCACTATGCTTCCGATTAACGGAAGAACAAATCGAAAAAGAAAGAGAAAGGGATGAAAACATCAAGAAGATGTTATCTCAAATGGAAATGCTACAAGAACATATGAAGGGGACACGTGGGGTGTTTCGAGTTGAGGAGGGTTCTTTTTCCGGTTACTCAAGACTGGGGGAGAATCAAGGTTGGAACTCCAGAAGATACGAGGAGGGTTTCCACACACGCTATCAACCGGTAGGTGGGAATCAAGGTTGGAGCTAATATAGAGGAGAAGAACCAGGGAGATATTGGCAAGATTGGGCTGAGCAGGATGGTCAGGAAGAGGAACATATTCACTTGAGTGAAAACCCAAAATCTAAAGGGAGTGCAAGTAGTCCTCGGGTAAATGATTTGTTATCACGCATACTCGATAAAGTTGAGGGCTCTGCTGATCTGCTAAAAGGAATGAAAGATAACTTTTCATCATTGAACATCAAAGTAAGTTGTTATGCGGATGCAATCAAAATGCTGGAAGGTAAATTGAGTCTGTTATCAGCTCAATTAACATCCACAACACCCATGGACCATATTAAAAGAGAGCTGGCTGTGGTTATTCGTAGCGGTAAGGTGGCAATAAGGGATATGATGGAAAATGAGGATAATCAAAAACATGAAGAGAGTCAAGGTGTGGAGGAACAAGATTTGCTTATTCAACATGCCCTTACTAAAGAACCATAGGAGGAAACAGATCAACAAGTTCAAGTTCCAAAAGTCATACATCCCTTACCCAAGATACTTCCACCATTTCCCCAACGTTTGAAAACGAAGAATGAAGATGAGAAGTTCAAAAAAAATTGTCAGTATTCAAGAGCTTATCAATCAACCTTCCTCTGGTAGAAGCATTGTTGGAAATGCCGGGATACGCCAAATTCATGAAAGAACTGGTTACAAAGAAAAGGTGCTTGGAATATGAAACGATAAAGGTGCCCCATAGTTGCAGTGCAATTATGACAAATGATTCAATAACTAAGAGAAAAGATCTTGAAGCATTCACAGTCCCGTGCATGATTGGCATGCTCCAATTTGCTAATGCCTTGTGCGACTTAGGGGCAAGTATCAACTTGATGCCTTATGCAATATACAAGAGACTTGGTTTGGGTGAACCAAAGGCAACCACAATGAGACTCCACATGGCTGATCGATCAATCAAGCACCCAATGAGAATACTCTATGAAATATTAGAAAAAGTGGATCGGTTCATCTTTTCGACTGATTTTGTGATTCTAGACTGTGAGATCGATGTTGAAATTCCCATTATTTTGGGAAGGCCTTTCTTAGCTATAGGGAGAGCACTGGTGGATGTTGAAAGCAGGAAATTGAAGTTCTGTGTGAATGATGATGTGGTGACCTTCAATATATGTAAGTCCATGAAGCAACCAAGTAACATCCATGTGGTGTCCACTAATGATGTGATAGATAAGGCAGTGGCAAGTGTGAGTCATTTAATGCTCAAGAATGAGCCCCTTGAATATGTGGTTGCTAATTATGATGAATCCGAAGTTCAGGGTTACGAGGAAGTGGTAGATGCTTTATCAATATTAGGAGCATATTCATGGAATCCAATCAAATTGGATATCTATCTGAAAAATAGAGAAAGTCCCCCTGCTAAACCATCAGCAGAAGAACCACCGAATTTGGATTTAAAAGTCCTACCCTCACATCTCAAATATGTCTTCTTAGGAGCCAATAATACTCTACCGGTAATTATTGCCGCCAATCTGCTTGAAAGGCAGGTGAAATTTCTCATTGAAGTACTGCGGAAGCACATAAAAGCTATTGGATGGACAATAGCCGATATAGTAGGAATTCGTCTTGGCATCTGCACTAACAAAATCTGGCTCGACAAGGAATGCAAGCCTAGTGTGGAACATCAACGGAGATTAAACCCTCCAATGCAAGAGGTGGTAAAAATGGAAATCATCAAGTGGCTAGATGCAGAGGTGATATACCCTATTGCAGATAGTAAGTGGGTAAGTCCGGTGTAAAGTGTCTCGAAAAAGGGAGGCATAACCGTAGTCCCGAATACAAAAGGAGAACTTGTGCCAACAAGACTAGTGACTGGGTGAACAGTATGCATGGACTACCGAAAGCTTAACTCATGGACCGAGAAAGACCATTTTCTGATGCATTTTATGGATCAGATGCTTGACTGGTTATCAGAAAGGGGGTGGTACTATTTTTTGGATGGATACTCCAGCTAGAATCAAATCTCTATTGCTCTAGAAGATCAAGAGAAAACCACTTTTACTAGACCAATCTCTATCCAAATCTCTATTTTTTTTATGGATACTCCGTTCGAAGAATGCTTGACTCACTTAGGACAGGTACTCCAAAGATCATCAAAACGAATCTGGTTCTGAATTGGGAGAAATGTCACTTTATGGTAAAAAAAGGTATTGTTCTTGGGCATAAGGTGTCACAAAAGGGGCTGGAGGTTGACAAGGCAAAGATTGAGGTCATTGAGAAATTACCGCCACCGATTTCAGTAAAAGGTGTTCGCAGCTTCTTAGGGCAAGCAGGATTTTATAGAAGGTTCATTAAAGAATTCTCAAAGATTGCACTCCCATTATGCAAACTCCTAGAGAAGGAAGTGAAATTCCACTTTAATGATGTTTGTATTGCTTTATTTCAGTGTTTGAAAGAGAAACTAATATCCACCCCGATCATCATCATCCCTAATTGGTCCGAATCTTTTGAGTTAATGTGTGATGTCAGCGGTATGGCACTAGGGGTTGTGTTGGGGCAGAAGCGCAAGAAACTATTTTACCCAATCTACTACGCAAGAAAGACTCTAAATAGTGCCCAACAAAATTATACGATCACCAAACAAGAGTTGCTTGCAGTAGTCTATGCAATTGAAAAATTCAGGGCGTACTTTCTAGGCACCAAAGTAATCGGACACACTGATCATGCTGCACTCCGTTATTTAATGGCAAAGAAAGATGCAAAACCATGATTGATTAGGTGGGTACTACTATTACAAGAATTTGATTTCGAGGTAAAGGATCGAAAACAGTGCAAAAATCAAGTGGCTGAACATTTAGCTGGAAGCAAGGGAGAATGTCGAGCACGAGGTTGACATAGATGACTCTTTCCCAGATGAACGGGTGTTTGCAATGTCACGACCCAAGCCTAGGGCCTAGACGTGACATGGCGAATGAGGAACCCGAAGGAACCCCAAACAAGCCTCTCAAACTTGTCATCACACTTCATCGGTCGCGGAAGTACATTCAACATTAATTAACGGGAGATAGGGACTAAGGGCAAACCATTTCAAAATGACATCATAGAACAAGAGTCAAGCTCATTTACAAAATACTTGTCCAACGCACACCTCTACATACATAGATAGGACGGGGCCATGACATTCTACCGGCTCCCCTCATAGTCAAAATACAATTGCAAGCTAAAGTCTCAAAACATAGGAGTAGGAAACATAACATAGCCCTCGAATCATTGAGGACTCACCAACAAACTCGGATAAGCGTCGTACTAGCCACGTGAATGGAGAGAAGGATCAAGAGTAGCTCCGGTCCCTACATGGTGACATCATGTAGGCAAAATATGCGTTAGTACTTGGAATGTACTAAGTATGCGGGGTGCAACACAACAATAGACAAGGACACAATCGAAATACAAGAAATAGTTTCATAGGCATTATGAATAACAATATGAGGATGCATGATCAAAGTGAAGTCAAAACATGTTTAAGTAACTCTATACTAATAGTAGATATCATATGTGTATGCATGATCCAACCAATCTATAACCCCAACTTAGGATGGGGGATGCCGTTCACACCCGGACACCCTGGTGGCAAGGTATAAACCCCTCACATGGTTGATGTTGGTCACACCCCAAGCATCCTAGGTGGTGAGATATAAACCTCTCACATGGTTGATGTTGGTCACACCCCAAGCATCCTAGGTGGTGAGATATAAACCTCTCACATGGTTGATGTTGGTCACACCCCAAGCATCCTAGGTGGTGAGATATAAACCTCTCACATGGTTGATGTTGGTCACACCCCAAGCATCCTAGGTGGTGAGATATAAACCTCTCACATGGTTGATGTTGGTCACACCCCAAGCATCCTAGGTGGTGAGATATAAACCTCTCACATGGTTGATGTTGGTCACACCCCAAGCATCCTAGGTGGTGAGATATAAACCTCTCACATGGTTGATGTTGGTCACACCCCAAGCATCCTAGGTGGTGAGATATAAACCTCTCACATGGTTGATGTTGGTCACACCCCAAGCATCCTAGGTGGTGAGATATAAACCTCTCACATGGTTGATGTTGGTCACACCCCAAGCATCCTAGGTGGTGAGATATAAACCTCTCACATGGTTGATGTTGGTCACACCCCAAGCATCCTAGGTGGTGAGATATAAACCTCTCACATGGTTGATGTTGGTCACACCCCAAGCATCCTAGGTGGTGAGATATAAACCTCTCACATGGTTGATGTTGGTCACACCCCAAGCATCCTAGGTGGTGAGATATAAACCTCTCACATGGTTGATGTTGGTCACACCCCAAGCATCCTAGGTGGTGAGATAAAAACCTCTCACATGGTTGTCCGGTTCTTTTCCCCCGGACCGGGCATGGTCATGCAACACTTTATATAGGAAATTCCCATTAGGCTCTAATGCAATCTCACGTATACTTACGAAGCACATTTTTAAGAACTTTTTGGGTCATTTCAATATCTCCCCCTTTGGAACATTCGTCCCCGAATATGGAAGAGACATACAAGGCAAGACTTAGTAAGAACATATCAGCCCCATCATGAATGCAAAATTTTTATTTAAACATCACTTCAAGATTTCAAAACTTAGTGTAAAGC